GGCTCCTTCCACGGCGGAAACAGAGCCCCGATTCCCTGGCCGCCGAATCAGCCCGCGCTCCAGCCGGGGCGCGATCATGCGCTTGATGCGGAGACGAATATGGATCCTGAGACGGCGTTGACGTGGGATCGGCCTGAGCCGGGGCCGAGGAGGAGGGGGGTTGAGGGTGGGGATGAGGAGGGGGTGGAGGGGGAGGCGGGGAGTTTGATTCCGGTTTCTGGGCATATTGCGCCAATGGTGGTGCCGGATGAGAAGGACAAGGCAAAGAAGCCGAAGCACAAGAGTGACGACAAGAAGCCTCCCGTGGACGGCCTCAGCCGAAGGGGAGTCGAAGGGGAAGAGGTGGAGGGTGAGGCCGAGAGGTTGATTCCTGTCAGCGGGCATATCGCTCCGATGTACGTGCCCGACAAGAACGACAAGCCGTGGCACCCCAAGCACAAGGACGACGGTAAGCAGCCCCCCGAGCCGGGCACGCCCTGGCAGGCCAAGCGGGATGCTCTGCTCAGCTCAGCCGGCTCCACATCCGCGGATACGGAGCGGCAGGTCGAGGCTAGCACCCTCGAACGTCGCCAGGTGTGGACGAGCGAGATCCGGTACTGCTACCCCGAAGGCTATAATCCCGAGAAAGACGTGAGCTTTAAATTTGAGGGGTACTGCGTCCACCCCGAGACCGAAGCCAGGCTACCCGCGCTGCATAACATCTCCACCGCCTGCCCGCAGGAGCGCATGGTTCCGTTCCAGCCGCAGCCGGTGAATCCGGTAAACCAGTGCTACCCACGGGAGAAGTGCTGCGTGAGGGACTCAGTCCTGGCGAAACTCAAGGCTGAAGCGGGCTCTGCCCCAGCGCCACAGAGTGTGCAGAACCCGGTCGCCCAGGCAGCGGATTCTGATCGAGGCATTCGCGCCGTTGAACGGCAAGACCAAACTCCCTCCTCGGCTTTTGAAAAGCGGCCGTGCCGAGGCGCCCTCAACGGTTATGCCATTCCGGGCTACTGCGTCACCACGGTCACCGGCGCTGAGTATCCTGGCCAGCCCGAAGCCGAGACCTGCCCGCCGATGGATATATGGGCCCCCTGGGCGACAGATGCGGAGCAATGTGGGCCGGGGGAGTCGTGCTGCGCGCGGTTTCCGGATGATCTCAAGCGCGCAGTCCGCGCGCCCCGGAGTGTGCAGGAAAAGAGGCGCTGCACGGCGGACCTCGGCGACACTGCTGCGGGGTATTGTATTGATCCGTTGACCGAGGCGGCGGATCCAGCTGGCGATGAGGTGTGTGACCGGAAGTTTTGGTACCCGCCGAACAGCGACACCAACGGCTGCACGGCCGGTCAGAAGTGTTGTGTGAAGCTCGCGCGCCGCGCTGAGAGCAGCATAAGCCTCACCTCCTTCAGCAAGACGACGGTGACGGGGACATGGGCCACGTCCGGCGCGTGGTCCAACGCTACTCGTACGTATAGCTGGTGGGGCACAGCTGGGTACACCACCACAAGCAGCAAGCTCTCGCGCCGCGCTGAGAGCAGCAGCATCAGCCCCATCACCTTCAGCAAAACAAAGTTGACAAGCAAGTACGCCACTTTTAGCACGCTGCCCAACACCACGTACACCTGGACGGGCCCGTCTGTTTACACGACCACGACCACGACTACCAGCAGCAAGATCACAACGCTCACCACGACGGGCACATCTACCTATACCTCCATCGCCACGGCCATCACGACGGCGAGCAGCAAGCCCGCGACAGGCACCACGAGCAGTAAGTCCACGACCGGCACCACGACTAGCACCACGACAGGCACCACAGCCGCGGGCAACGGACTCACCTTCACAATTCCGCGCCGCGCCGAGAGCAGCAGCATCAGCTCCATCACCTTCAGCAAGACGACGTTGGCCAGCAAGTGGGCCAACACCACGTACAGCTGGACGGGCCCGTCTGTTTACACCACCACCACCACGACTACCAGCAGCAAGCTCACGACGCTCACCACGACCGGCACCAGCACGTACACCTCCCTCACCACGGCCACCACAACTACGGGCAGCAAGCCCACGACAGGCACCACAACCCCAGGCAACGGGCTCACCTTCACAATCCCGCGCCGCGCCGAGACCAGCAGCATGAGCAGCAAGCTCACAACCCTCACCACAACCGGCACCACAACCTACACCACCACCCTCACCACCTCCATCGCTGCCTCCTACTCGCCCCTCCCCTGCCGCGCTCTGGTATGGGAATTCCCCCCCAACGAAATGCGCGGGACCTGCGCGCCCCCAACGCAAAGCGGGTGTCCCAACGGTCGTTTCTTCCACGAAATGCAAGAGTCAGGCCACTCAATCTGTGCCGACGCGGGGTTGCGGTGCTGTGTCCCGTTTGTTGCGCCGACTGGGGCTGAGCCCGCGCTTTGCACGATTAGGAAGGCGTGGGGACTGGATCCGAGGGGGCATTGTGCGGATCCGTTTACGAAGGAGGGGTGTGGGAGTGAGGTCTTTCAGCCGCATGACGGTTGTCCGGCGAAGTATATGGGGTGTTGTCCCGAGAAGTCCGGGGTCGGGGAGGGACGCGCGTATACCATGAAGGATGGGCGCAAGGTCCCAAGTCGGGGCGTTGCGCCGGCGGTGGTGGTGGCGGCGGAGTTTCCGCTTAGGAAGTGGGAGAAGGAGGGGAAGATGGGGATGGAGATGGGGGAGATGGGAATGGAGGAGAAGGTGCTTGCTGCGCGGGCGACGGGGACGGTGACGACGACGGCGATGAAGACGAAGCAGATCGTTGAAACCGCGATGCCGATGCCGACGGGGAACGAGACGTGGCTCCTAGGCCGGGAATCGGACTCTGATGACTCTGATGACTCGGACTCGGATGACGAGCACGAAGGCCGTAGATGCTTGGCCCGGCGGAGGCATCAGAGTGCCAAGGGGCAGAAGAAGGGGTTTTGCGTGGAGAAGGGGAAAGAGGATGAGTGCTGGACGAAGAAGAAGACGCCGTTGCTCAGGGAGGGACATGAGGTGCGCCCGGTTTGGGGCGGGGATTGGAAGTGTTTGGCTGAGGGGATGTTGTGCTGTGTGAAGGGGTAGGGGTTCGTGGGGGGTGTATTTCTTGTTTCCGTTTCCTGTCTCCTGGGGGTTCTTTGATTTGATGCCCTTGGGGATAGTTGTCTAGGTGTTTGGCGCGGTGGTGCAATATGATTATTTCCTCGGCTAAGCGGTTCTGCAGTGTACTCGAATGCCTTTATCTTTGTCTTTGCCCCCTTCGCCGCCGTTCTCAATTCATCACCGCTCAGTCCTGTCTGTGCATGCAATCATGGCCTCGCCAAGTCAACAGTAGCCTCACCACCCACACGGGAGGATGAGTGCTGGACACGTAAGAAGACGATTCTGCTCAGGGAAGGGCATGAAATGCACCCCGTGTGGGGTGGAGACTGGAAATGTCTTGCTGAGGGAATATTGTGTTGCGTGAAGGGGTAGGCATAGGGGGTGTATTCTTGTTCCTTGTTCCTTTCTCCTGGGGGTGCTTTAATTTGTGATTCAGATTGGTGACTATGGTTATCTCTGCAGTCGTAGTGTAATGCGACTGCTTCTTCTACTGAGCAGTGCTGTGGTGTTGTTCTTTAATGTTCTCCCTGAGCCCTTCGCCGTTATTCCAACTTCATCTTTGCTTCGTTTCGTCTGTGGGGGGTGTAGAACAAGGCTCACTGGCACGTATATACAATATGGTAATTGTGAAAGAGTTGATGAAAGACAAGGAGAGGGGAGAGTTAGAGACTCTCGAGGTTTAATACACGATGTCTTCAACGCTCCTTTCCACAATACTCGTATTACATCATATCACTTGATGACATAAGAATGCCCCTTCCATCCACATCAGCGTGCCACACATCACAGCCTCGCCAAGTCCAGCCTCACACCAACACGTGATGTGACTCACCTCTTTTTGCCGTTACACTCAAATTTTAGCTAAGCACCTATGTGGTCATCAAACCAAGCTGAATGGCGCAGCGGAAGCGCGCCGGGCTCATAACCCGGAGGACGGTGGATCGAAACCACTTTCAGCTATTCCTTTTTGCCTTTTTGCGCGAGGCCTGGTGAGGGTCAATGAGGTTGTCTTGCATGTACTAAAGGGCTCGATAGGTAATGGGCGTGCTTCAATTTTGTGTCACAGGACCGAGGAAGTTGTACACGTGCTCTAAAATTTGATATTGAGACAGGCAGAGACTGCTACGCCGGATATCGCCATCCCTAAGGTAAACGTCTAAATCCACACCAAACCTCATCATGCACTACCCAGGAGTAAACAGTGTAACCGCCACCGACACCTCGACACCACTCTAACGCCCACTTTCTCCACTAGATCAAGCATCTAAACCGCCCCACTCCCCCTCGTAAAGCTATACCCCTTCCCCCCCCCCGTCGCGGGACTCTCATACGCCCCCCGATACTCCGTATCCCCCCCAACACCAACACCACCCATAACAGGCGAATGACTATCCAACGGTCCCCACCCCCTTCCCTCCACTTCCCCTCCGCTCAAAGCCTGATACGCCGGCGCCGGCCGCCCAGGCACAGGTTCTTCGTCGTCGCTGTCGTGTGCCCCGTCGATATCGCGTGTGCTGCTGTCCCAGATCGGATCTTTGGGCGCGGAGGAGGAGTCGAGGGGTGTGGCGGTGTAAGGGGAGGGCGCGAGCCAGGGGTCGAGGGCTTGGGGGTCGCGGAGGGAGGTGCGCAGCATGAGGGATGAGAGGGCGGTTGTTAGGAGGAAGGTTACGCTGGGGGGGTTGTTAGTGGAATTTGGGGAGGAGGGGAAGGGGACGTACAAGATGAGCACCCCGACGGAGGCAGCGGAGTATCCGAGCTTGCACTTCGCCTCCGGGCCGTAGCCAAAGGTCGTGCAGTTCCCCTGGTCGAGGGGGAGTTTGGCGTCTGTTGTGCCTTTGTCGATGCCGGCGCGGTTCCAGGCGAGGACGGAGGCGAAGGCGGAGAGCCAGAGGATCTGGTTCGGATCAGTATAAAGGGGGGGGGGGGGGGGGGGGGGGGGGGGGGGGGCGGGGACGCACGCAGAACACAGCGTCCACAGCGACGAAGGCGATTGCCTTAGCGAACTTCGCGGTGCGGGTCCACATGGGCACGGCGACGAGGTAGATCAGCGCGGGGATGGAGAGGAAGCACTGGCTGCGGTTAGGTTACGAAAGAGGGGGGAGAGGGGGAAAGACGAACGAGACCGAAGAACCACCCCGGCCGGCTGTCAACGCTGCCCGGCTTAGTGAGGAGGGCGATGGTGATGCATGCTGCGACGAAGATGATGATGGCTTGGAAGGCGTGGAGACAGGTTTTTGCCTTTTGGAGTTTGCTGATTGCCTGGCGCATTGTGGTGGTTGTGTCGTTGACGCCTCAGGGTGTGTCCGGTGTACAGATGGTGAGCGGCGGCGAACGGTGTTTTGTCAAAGGTAGGTATCCAAGGAGCGGAGAGAATGAAGTGGCGGACAAGAAGGTCAACACAAAGCTCTTCTCTCCCCCTCAAATGTCGCGGTTCTCGTGCTGCATAGTTCGTGTTTGGGGCTGAGCGAGGCAGAAGCCAGACGCGCTGCTGGGCGGATGCGAAGAAAGGGAGAGAGTCTAGTCCGAGCGCCTGAGCCCAGCTGGAGGCTGAAAATGCACGTCTCCGCCCTAAAAATAGTGGCGGAGCGGAGGCGCGGCGCTTTATTGCCGGCATGGGTGCTCGCGTGGATACTGGCGAGGCGGTTGGTGGATGGGTTTTGATAGACATGAGATGGGAGGAGGGAATGAAGCCGAGCAATGCATGCAAGAACAGTAAACATTGACAAATCGTGGTGTTTAGTCCCATCCGTCGCCATGACGCGTGAGATCTGGCCCTCCATGAGGCGACAAGGCACATGGCGGCGTGGCGTTAAGGCCGAAAGTCTAGACGATGCCAAGGCGGCTGTGAGGCGACAAGGCGACAAGGCGACAAGGCGACAAGAAAACAAGGCCATCAATTGTTTCTCAGGCATCAATCCGACCCCACCAAAGACCCCGCCTCGGCCCATGATTTTCACTCCACCACGCAGCTGCATCACAGCTACAGTACACCATCACGACCGCCAGAATGTCGTCCATAACCGCCTCCGATCCCAAGATTGGTAGGTCTACTCTCCTCCCTGTTAATCAGTACCGCTGACCCTTACCCCACAGCGCCGTATTCCACCTCCAACACTCTCTCCTTCGCCTACCCCTCCGCCCGCGACCGCTGGCCCATAATCCTAACCCAAGGAATCGACGACCTGCACCGCGCCACCGCCTTGCTCCCAGACTCCCCCAAGTGCACAGAGGGCAAGACCCTCATCGCCTCCCTCGCAAAGCTAAAGTACGAGCTGCAGCACAATCGCCCACTGACGCCTTTGCCGGATGATGGCCTCCCCGATATCGAGGCGTATAATGCGGAGCTCGAGGGCCTGAGTCCGTTAAGCTGGTTCGATGGACCGTGGTTGTTTGTCGAGTGTTATTTGTACCGGTGCGCGGCGCTCCGTCCTTGAAAGAAAGGGGCTAACATGAGCAGGTAGACGCCTGCAGCAGCTCTTCACGCTGAGCACGCATTGGAAGGCGTATGACATCTTCCACGCCACCAAGACCACCGCGCTGCGCTCGTCCCGGCGGGCCATAATCGAGCTCGCCACGCACTTCAAAGCCATCACCCAATCTCTGTCCTCCTCTTCCTTCCCGAGCGAAGAAGACAGGGAAAAAGCCGCCCTCCTCCTCTTCCAAGAAGTATCCCTCATCAGCCTCTGGGGCAACGCAACCGACCTCTCTCTCCTCCCCGACCTCTCCCACTCCGCGTTACAAAAACTCCAAGGCGCCGCCGCACGGCAAGCCTCCGCCGGGAATCTCCTCGCCAACGACCTCCCCGCCGCCTTCGAGGTCCTCCGCGGCCTCCAAAAAGCCGGCAAGCCGCGCCGCGTGGATATCGTGCTCGACAATGCGGGGTTTGAACTGTACGTCGACCTTGTCCTGGCGGCGTATCTGCTCGTGGCGGGGCTGGCGGATAGTGTTATCCTGCGCCCGAAGAGCATGCCCTGGTTTGTGAGCGATGTGGTTGCTGCGGATTTGTACGGGTTGTTGAATGCGCTTGCCGATCCGGCGTTTTTTGGGGATGATGTTGCCGAGGCCGAGGCTGCGGATTTACGGTTCTTGTTTGAGAAACTGAGTGTGTTGCATGCGGAGGGCCAGATGATTCTCCGCCCTGATGCGTTCTGGACGAGCGCGCATAGTTTCTGGCGGCTCCCGAGCCAGGCGCCGGATCTATGGGGTGATTTGAAGGATGCGGCGCTTGTGGTGTTTAAGGGGGATTTGAATTACCGGAAACTGGTGGGGGATGTGATGTGGCCGCCTACGACGCCGTTTAGTGAGGCTATTGGCCCGTTGAATGAGGGGCTGAGGGTGCTGGCGCTGCGGACGTGTAAGGGGGATGTTGTGGTTGGGTTGCCGGAGGGGAGGGATGAGGAGTTGAGGCACACGGAGGGTGCGGCGGGGCAGTTTGATGAAGAAGCGAAGAAGGATGATAAGGCGAGGCGGTGGGCGTGGTGTGGGAAGTGGGCGGTTGTGCAGTTTGCGGATGGGAAGGGGGGGGAGTAGCGAGGAACGGGACATATGGGTGATATGTACGGGATTAGACGGCTTCATTAGACGTAGATAGGTGGGTATCGTAGTACGGGTCTCGCTATAGCGCCCATTCATCCACCGTCTCATTCGGACTCACGAACGGGACATCGATCTGCTTGACCGCCAGCTCAGAGCAGAGCACACTATCACACGATTAGCCCCGTCCCCACACCCCGCAATCTCAAAGTGTACTCACCAACTCCCCCCAACCAACTCATCCAACTCCCTCGCCTTCCGTTCCCTCCCCCTCCCCCCATGCACCCCATTCGCAATCTCCCCCTGCAACTCGCGAATCCTGCGCCCCTTCCCCAGCCCCGCCAGCTCAACAACCTTCCCAGCAAGACAATCCGCATGAAACGCATGCTGACACGGGAATACAAAGAACGCGCGTACAACGAGGGGCATCCGGCACACAAAACACTTCTCCCCCGGCGCCACCACCGCACACCGTCCCCGCAGGGCGCGCACCTCGCTCCGAATGTGTCCTGCGGCGCGCGCCGCGGCATCCATATCCGCCTTCAACCCGTCGATATGCGCGCTATACCCCTCGAGCGCGTGGCAAATTTCCTCTTTGAAATCATCAATGAGGACGAAGTCTGGGAAAAACGGAATCAGGTCCTCGATCCTGAGCAACGGACATCGCTGCAAAAAGCTCAACGCGCTTGAGATCCGCGCTTCTTGCCGGATTACCTGCCGCGCTATTGCTAACCAGAGTTTCTTTTGTGAGGCCGGGGGGGCAGTGTCAGCGACGCTAGCCGCGAGGTCGATTTCGTTGTGCGCCAGCGCCAGCGCGACGGCGGCGCCCTGGCTGCCCATGCTCGTGTGCAGTTGCACGCAGGAATGGACGCGCGTGTGCTGCATGCACAACCTCAATGCAAAATCCGCATCGTACGGCGAGTCCGCCGGTGGATTAGCGCGGAGGTACGCCAGCAGCGCAGATTCGTCGCGGGTCGGGGCCGCGGCGTAGATCGAGATGAGCGTATTGTGCACCGCCGGAGAGAGGGAGTCCAGGCTCGTGATTACGAAGTTGAGATACCGGACGGCTTGGTTCTGGGACAGGGAGACGCTGGTTAGGGTTGTGTAGTGGAGGAGGGCGGGGATGAGGCGCTCCGGGTCGAGGTTTGTTTGCCGCATGAGGATGTCGACTAGTTCGGCGGGGACGTGGGCCATGAGCACGGCGGCGTATTTGTAGAAGGTTTCGGGGGCGGATTGTTTCTGCAAGACATCGAGGGCGGCAGGCCAGCGCTCGCGCTGCACCCAGTACGCGAGGACGTAATTGTGGTCCTGCACCGCCGTCGCGAAGAAGAGCAATTCCTCCTCACGGCCATGGCTGCTGATAACCTCATACGTCGTCTTCACATCCAAATCCGCCCTGTACCTCGTCGCAAACTCCTGAAACTCCT